ACTGAAGAATGAGTAATACAGAACTGCAAAATGATTTTAAAAAAAATCATACAGTGATTTTCTGGATTTTTGTTTTAGATCCCGTCACTCAGTGTTATCCTTTGTAAGTGGGAAAACCTGCAAAATCGCCAGTGTATCTTGTTCTCCCCACTGTATATCAATGTATATACATTTATAGGTATATGATTGGATATACATTGCACCACATGGTATGGTGATGACATGGTGAAGTTCTACACAGCTGCATGTAAATAGCTTCTCTAGCAATTGCCTTGTACAGTGTTTAGCAATCAGAATCCCCTCTGAGATTGGGCCTTCAGGCCTCTAGGCTAGTGCTAGACCAGAAGATCCTATAGGAAGTGACAGGAGATGCATGTGTTTTTATCTAGCTAGAAGAACTTGGCACTCAGTGCTAAGCACTATAAATAGACTACTGTTACTGCTCAGTGTAGAAGATGGGTACTCTGGAGGATGACGTCCCCATCTGATCTCTCCAACCAGCTCGTATCTCCTCACTTCCTCCATTTCCTCCAACCCCTAACCTTGTAATTTCCTCAGTCCATTTCTTTAATCCCTTCTCACAATTCTAAATTCCCTCCATTCCATCCTCTTGTCATTTTTAATCTAGGGATATATGGTATTTCAATGTAGGTAGGTAGGGCAAAAGGGAATGAGGTTATTAGTCAATTTCTACACCAACCAAATGTTCGCTTCGACAACAAAATAACTCCAAATGAGATTGGCTGCCATGATAAGCTACCGGTGGATCGACTGCTTTGCTCAGGGACAACACAATGAATGATATTTTAACTTGTGAGCCATGTTATTTCTTTTTTACACCCTGCATCCATGTGTATAACATTCAAAATAGAATTACTACAACCAGTTTTCACCAGGCCCTGCCTGCATGGAGGAGTTGGTAGCTCAGTGGTAGAGTGCATGCTCTGTATGTATGTAGGTTAATTCCCCAGCTCGCCTTTGCAAATGAGAATTTGTTCTCAATTCGCCTGCCTGGTAAAATAATGGTTAAATTAAATAAATAATCCCTAATAGGAAATAAAACTCACTTTACCAAGTAATTTAGGTTTACATTTCCCTCACCTAGCGACCCATACACAATATAAAATTCCTTACAGAAGTATTCAGACCCCTAGATTAAAGATAAAAGTAGAAGGGGAAAAATACTAATGAGAACTATGGTTAATTAACTAAAAACATGAAACTGTAAATCCACCTTACAGCAGGACAATGATCCCAAGAAAAATGTCTAAGCAACATTGGGGTTGCATAATAACAAAAAGGTAAAAGTATTAGCCTATCGAGTTCAGCCAGAAAGCCTGTCTGGTAATTGCCAAGTGAAGCAGCAGCTGATATTGGATCGCACCTATCAAGGGCTGCAACAATTTTTTTGGGATAATTTACTAATCCAACAATTATTCAAACGATAAGTCGACTAATCATCTACTATACCAATGATAAATCAGTAGGCTTTGAATGATTATTTAGCTTTTGCATTTGATTTAAACATCAGTTATACTTATTCTAACTAACAAATAAAACATGGAAATCACTTCATTTAAAAAAAATAATAATAATAATTGTCCTATTGTGTCCAAATCAAATCACAAATGCTTACTATGCTTCAGGACACAAGGCAAAAATATCAATGTACAACCAATTATTATAACTATCTAAATGTGTCTAATTTTAATGGTGAACTGTGTAACTGCTGTCTGTGGACATGTTGCTTCCGTGTTAGTATGCAGAACATACAGAATCAGAAAAGTGTTTAATCGCCATGAATGTGTTAACATACAAGGAATTTACATTGGCAGGAATGTGCATACATAAAACATATGAATATAACAATATAAATTATACTAAGGGGCTGAGGGGGTATAGGGATAGTAATATACAAGATGCTTAACAAAATACAGATATATAACAGTGCAATAGAGCAAATATTGTAGTGCAAAATCAGGCAATGTGCAAAAAGGAATGGGTCAGAGTTCGAGGCTTGTGTGCACCCCTGGCCTTGTTGAGGAGGCCAGTAGCACATGGAAAGAAACTTTTCTTATGTCGTGAGGTTTTGGTCCTGATTGACCGAAGCCTTATGCCGGAGGCGAGTGGATTGAATAGAGTGTCCGGGGTGAGAGGGGTCTGCCACAATCTTCCTAGCTCGCCTCAGAGCCCCTCGAGGTGTGCAGGTCCTCGAGGCTAGGCAGATTGCAGCCGATCACCTTTTCAGCTGAGCGGATGATACGCTGCAGGCTGCTCTTTTCCTTAGCTGTAGCAGCAGCATACCAGGTAGTGATGGATGATTTGAGGATGGACTCAATAATGACTGAGTAGAAGTGAACCATCATAGTCTTGGGCAGGTTGAATTTCTTCAGCTGCCGAAGGAAGTACATCCTCTGTTGTGCTTTCCTGGTCAGTGAGCAGATGTTTAACTCGCACTTGAGGTCCTGTGATAGGACAGTGCCCAGGACGCGGGAGGACTCTACCGTGTTGACGGGGAAGCCACACAGGGTGATGGGGGAGAGTGAGGCTGAGTTTCTCCTGAAGTCCACAACCATCTCCACTGTCTTTAGAGCATTGAGCTCTAAGTTGTTCTGGCTGCATCAGGTCACCAGTTTGTCAGCTCCCAGCCTGTAGTTGGACTCGTCCCCACCGGAGATGAGCCCAATGAGGGTGGTGTCGTCCGCAAACTTCAGGATCTTAACAGATGGGTGACTTGAGGTGCAACTGTTGGTGTACAGGGAGAAGAGCAGAGGAGAAAGGACGCAGCCCTGGGGGGACCCGGTGCTAGTGGACCGGGAGTCAGAGACTTGTGACCCCAGCTTGATGCACTGCTTCCTGTCAGACAGGAAGTCTGTGATCCACCTGCAGGTGGAGTCTGGAACGTTTAGCTGGGAGAGCTTGTCGTGTAGAAAGGCAGGGATGATGGTGTTGAAGGCGGAGCTGAAGTCCACAAACAGGATCCTCGCATATGTTGCAGGGGAGTCCAGGTGCTGGAGAGTGAAGTGGAGGGCCATGTTGACTGCGTCATCCACAGACCGGTTGGCTCTGTAGGCAAACTGCAGGGGGTCTAGTAGGGGGTCTGTGATTGTTTTGAGGTGAGCCAGCACAAGACGTTCGAAGGATTTCATTACCACAGAGGTCAGCGCGACGGGTTTGTAGTCCACGTAATGTTTTTATTAACTGGTGTCAATAACTGGCCGTCTTGCTTATATAAGTTACAGCTGGAGAACACTCATCTGTCACTGTTTACACCTCCTCTAATGCCGGGATATGTTTTAGTTTGAAATTTAGTGAAACTTTTCCACACACAACTTGTTTTGCTCCGTTAGCACGCTAAAATTTTAGCCCCCATCCTCCCCTGACCTCAACCCTATTCAGAACCTTTGGAGCATCCTCAAGCAAAAGATCAATGAGGGTAGGAGGCAGTTCGCATCAAAACAACAGCTCAGGGAGGCTATTCTGACAAAGAAATTGAAGCAGAAACTGTCCATAAACTCACAAGTTCAATGGATGCAAGAATTGTGAAGGTGATATCAAAGCAAGGGTCGTATGACAAACATGTAATTTGCCCTGTTAAGATGTGTTTCATTGAAATAGCTTTTGATTTCAGTAAATATGACCTCCTAATACTGCAAATTCAACAACTGATCAACAAATGACTATGACTTTCATTTTTTTACAACTAGGGATGACCGATATTTGTTTTTGGCGATATTCGATATGCCGATAATTTTAAACTCGTTTTGGCCGATACCGATACACTTTAATTTTACTGAAGAGAAATCCAAGTCTCACTCCTGTACTACCTTTATCTTATTAAACGCATGTAGACAGACATTCACCTCTGAAAATAGGTTAATTATTATGCCAGTTCAGAGGAGTAAAATAAATAACAATACATGTTCAAATAATTTACCTAATTCACGTAGCACGACTTGCACTCGTTCTCTTTCTATTTTCCATTTCCTAAACATATTATCGGATGCAATTGCACTCCTGTTGTCACACAGCAGCTGACAGCTTTTTTTAAGGGTATAGTCTTCGTCGGCTCAACATGCTAACAGGACTGGTAAAGCTAATGTGACTGTCGACAACACTTTGGAGTTCAGGCAATACCACATCAGTAGTGACGGCTAGGCATAGCATACCGCGGCTAATAGTATAATACGGCTATAGCATACCGCGGCTAATAGCATAACGCGGCTATAGCATACTGCGGCTAATAGCATAATACGGCTATAGCATACCGCGGCTAATAGCATAACACGGCTATAGCATACCGCAACTAATAGCATAACAAGGCAATAGCTACGTCATTAGCCAGCTGAAGCCAACAACATCTTCCACCACGTTGAACGGCTGGTTAACATGAGCAATACTATCAATGATTTAGTCGTTAAACTCTATTACCTTTTGAATGCTGGCTGATGTAATTTCTTGTAGGCAGTTTAAGTTTGTTGGCGTTCATGCTATGTTCCGGTCATCACGTGCGCATAATAAACCCGCCACACTATCGGCAATGCTCATCGGCAGAAATATTAATATCCGCAGATATGGATCATTTTAAGCCTCTCAGGGAGAAAACTTGACATCAAAAGTTAAAAAATATCTTGTTAACATCATAAGTAATGCTCACAACAAGTGTTTACAGTTTATGAATTTTGTTTTCTTACAATTAGTTTCGTGGGATTAGTTGGGGAAAGACACCATTTGTGTTTTGATTCAATCTCATGTATAATGTTTACATAGACCATCTAACCTTAGCTGTGTTAGTCTTGTTCTAGGTAGACATATCTACATTCTGTTTACATCCAACACATTCACGGGTGGGTGGTGTGTCAGGTTTAAGTGCTAAACTCTATTCATTGTGACTATTGTATGAAAAAAAAAATTCTAAGTGGAAGTTTTATTTTTTATTTAACCAGGTAGCCCGATTAAGAACAAATTCTCATTTGCAACGGCGACCTGGGGAGAAGCTGGGGAGTGCATCAGCTCAGTGGTAGAGAGCATGCCTTTGAGTGTATGATGTCCTGGGTTCAAACGCCAGCTTCTCTCTCGCCGTTGCAAATTAAATAAAAAATAAAAAATGGAATAGATGCTGTTAAAAGTCTTTTTATTTCTGCAAGCAATACGGTTTATTCAATAACTAGGTCATCACCATTTAAGTGTGACCTGGGTCCGGGTTTACCTTCAGACAATTCTATAGTATGAAAGTCCTTGATGCCCTATTATCTTTAGACTCTAATAAATCTATAGGGGCAGATAAATTGGAACCTGGTCTACTAAAATGTGGAGTATCCCAAATTGCTGGTGCAATAACCCATATTCTTTTACTTGATGTTATCCATATGACTTATTCCTAAATTATGGAAATCTGCATATGTGTTGCCTTATCATAACAGTGATAGTGGTGATCAATTATCACCCAATTGCAAGGCTACCTTGTCTAGCAAAGATTCATTAACCATCGATTATTAATGTGCAGCTTCGATCCCAAGAAATTGAATAATAAAATACATTAAAATGTATTAAAAAAGAACTGTTCCTTCTGCGAAGCCACTATATTGATATATGACGTTTTTTTGTAGTAACCTCATGTTTGGCTGGCTGGGCGGACTTCTGCTTGACTGTGCGAATTCCGTTTGCTGGGAGTCTGATTGCTTGTGTGTCTGTTTGCCCATGACCAGACAAAAAAATACTTAATTCTACTTAATTTCATGTACCAATATGATTAACTAACCCAGGAAAAACAGGCATAATTTTGTAGTAGACAAATTGGAAAAGATTAAAAAAAAATAGGAAGTGTGGTTTGTTCCTTGCATTCGGTTTGGATCATCATTGGGAAAACTAACGGAGGTGTGCTGATCAGCTTTTGAGTGCTAAGCCTGAATAAAGCAAGCTTTCAATAGGAGAAATCAGATAGGATAAAATCGACCATCCCACCCGACCCCCCATTATTACCCACCCTTGGGTAGAAGATTAATTAAACTATGCAAATATACAATATTAATCGTGTATAAATATTGTATATTTACAGACATTTAGTATTACTGAATGCATGATAAATATGTACGTTTTTACATGTTTATCTCAGGGAAAACATTGATGAATGAACGTAAGTTTGTCGTAGGAATAAATTACATGCACCGCCATCTTTTTAAGGGTAATGTTATACCGGAATATGTGTGCCGTCACTTTACAACGGTCTGAATATACTGACATCATTTTAGCCAGCTGTAAATACGCGAGCACGTGAAAGTCCTCCTTGTAATATTCAGAAAGCTGAGCGTGGCGAAGCTCCCTGTAATGTTAACTACAGGCCTGTATTAATAAACTGAGTATAATTGAGCGCTTGACTTCTCAGAGTATTATTTTAAATTTATCATATGGTGACCTCCCCGAAAATTAGTGGAAGAGGTTTTGATTAATCCGCAACACTGGACACCATCAGCTCTGATATCTGTATAAGAGGTTGACTGATAATGGTTCTCAGGCCGATGCCAATCTTTTGAAATCCAGGTCGGCCGATGGATGATTATTATGGGCGATTTATTTAGGCCGACATGGTTTTTAACCTCTATTTACAAGATAAAATGTAACGCTAATAATTACTTAAGAATAAAAACATAGAATTTTTCAACAAAAACGTTTAATAAAAAAATTATAATATATTAAATAAAAGAAATAGGTAAAAAGAAAAAACTTTGATAAATGAACTTTTCAATAAAAGCATTTATTTACAACATCCGAAAACCTTTAAATAAATCAATTCTTGCGGCTCTTAGAATATACTTTGACGAGTGTACTGAATAAATCTCAAAATTTGAAAAAGCTATTTCAGAAAGAGAGCATTTTCAGCTTTATTTTATTCACAATAAATCAACTATTTATATTTCATGAAATTACTTTCTTGCGGCTCTTAGAATATCCTTGATGAGTGTACTGATGCATTTTGAGGTATACGTCTCAATTTGAAAATGTTATTTTAAGCTTTAAAATATTCTCAATAAATCAACAGCTGATTTTTGATGAAAGTTATTTCTTGTGGCTATTAGATGGCACTATGGAGAGTGTATTGATGCATTCTGCGATTTAAACCTTTGAAAAAGCCATTTAAAAAAAAATCTGTAATCTATGTTATAGTTAGTGCAGCCTGACTATTAATCGGCTTTATATACTTGAATATCGGCCGATGACGATTATATAAAAAACACAAATCGACCCCTAATCTGTATATACAAATACTTATTGCTCTACATTCTGCTCTTTGCACATTTTGAAATCTGAAAACACATTTAAAAATTGCACCTTCGCACTACTCGGATATATATGACACATACTGACAGGGTTTTTAAGGGAACATGCTTATCCACAATAGCATTGGAGATGCTACAGAACTTGCAGGGCCAATTCAGGATCAACTATTAAATGTTTACTGTGACACATTCAACATCGCTCAATCGTAAATCATATAGAAATGCCAGACACACACACGCACCCGTCTGGGAAATTTGGTCGATTTTAAGGGAGTCCTTAACATTTGGACGTGTCAGTTTTTTAATTAACAGCTTCAAAATGTATTTGACACCAAAATCTCTTTAAAAAACGCAATCATGAATTTCATATTACATCAATAGTATTTGACAACATTGTAATAAATAGATATTTCAAAAAAGTAAAAACAGTTAAACATTGTTAAAAAAAGTTTAAGTTGTATGCAAACAACTATTCATGAACACACTGAATGTTTCAAACATTTCTCTATCTTCAACACTGTAGGAGGAGTAGCATGATAAACAATAAGATGCATGTTGAAAATTGGACCGGAGGCCTCTTGCTTTGCAAACCCCAGAATCAATGTGTCAATTTTCATGGAGTGATTAGTTATCTAACAAAAGCAGGGTAGAGCTGGTTATGAGCTTACAGTTCCTCATCACAAAGTAATTAACAATGTATATCAGTGTTCACACATGCAAAAACACACACATTTTCATGACGGATGAGAGAATCCAACCACCCAAGTCATGGACTTTCTCCCTACAATGCGCAACCAGTGATATTAGTGCATTACTCTATAACCAACAGCTTAGGCACACGACCACACAATGGCTATATAAATGGCTTCCAGTTCTATCAGCAGCCTGTCTGTTTTCACAGACAGTATTCAACGTGTCACTAGAGCGATGCACTCTTTCTGCCGGTTTCAAGTCCTCCATCACGGTTTCAGTGCTGCACTATACTGCACGTAAAACATCTCATCTCCCTGCATCAATATTCAATAAATGCATTAATTGGAACTGTAAATCTTTGTTTTGTAAGTCATAATTTTTATGATTATAAAATGTATTTATAGGATTTTCCCTTTAGATACCCAAGGTACTTTTATGCTCACGTCCGCATTACTTTGCATTTATTTAGACATCACATCTGTCACTATCTGTTGTCTAGCCCCAGTAGTACATTTAAAAAATACAAGTACAATTCTAGGTATGTATCAATAGAGATAATTCCAAAGTAATCAGCAAACGTGATCAATGTGATTTGCCAACAAAATGTAGACATAAAACATTTTGCATGCAAATAACATTTGCAACAATTTGAATTGCCAGTCTAGTTATTAAGTCTAATTGTTCTGTTCTGAGATATCATAGAAACATACAGGTATCAACAGGATGTAATACAACTTTAGTTGAGTTTCCAATGTCTCTAAAGGTCTGCTGAATCCAAGGCTATAAATATGGCCAGGGATGTTCTCTTAACACGTATTTTAAGTTGATCCAATCCTGTCAAGCATTCAAATTGTAGCACATTCTTGCATGACAGAAAAACTAGTAAAGAGTATTGTTTTTGCAATAGTTTAAAAAGTCAAACTTTTTAAAAAGCCGTTAGTGTGTTTATTTTACACCACTGCAGTAAAAACCTTATACACAGATCAGGCATAACATTATGACCCCTGACAGGTGAAGTGAATAACACTGATTATCTTATTATCATGGCACCAGTCAGTGGGTCAAATATATTATGCAAATTGTGATGGCTAGACGACTGGGTCCGAGCATCTCATGGTCCAAGGAAGGAAAAGAAGTGAGACGGCAAACATGGACATGGAGGCCAAGGCTCATTGATGCATGTGGGGAGTAGAGGCTGGCCCGTGTGGGGAGTAGAGGCTGGCCCGTGTGGGGAGTAGAGGCTGGCCCGTGTGGGGAGTAGAGGCTGGCCCGTGTGGGGAGTAGAGGCTGGCCCGTGTGGGGAGTAGAGGCTGGCCCGTGTGGTCCGATCCCAAAAACTGTACTTGTAGCTCAGATTGCTGAAAAAAAAGTTAATGCTTGGTTCTGATAGAAAGATGTCCAAACACACGGTGCATCGCAGCTTGCTGTTATGGCTGATCAGAGGAACTAAGCATGTGTTGTGGTTTTCCCAGGGTACAGCAGAAAGGAAAGGTGATTGATGGCCGGTATAGGAGCAAATTGTTCACATGGCGAAAAGGAGCAAAACAAGTCGCGTGTGGGAATGTTGGACTAAAGTTTTAACTAAAAATGACCCATCTAACACGTAGAAGGGCGGACATTGCTTTCCATGAGAGCACAACGTGCATGCTGAAACATTACAAAAATAAACACCCTGGCACGAGAGGAGATGGAAACGGTGAGAGTTGAGTGCGTTCCAGCTGTAACTAATATAAGCAAGATGGCCAGTTAGCGAAACCAGTTGATAAAAACGCATTATGCACTATATCGCGCATACTGAAACGATCACAACATGTCCACAGACAGCAGTTAAACCGTTCAGTGTATACAACCATTGGAATGAGACACATTTAGATATTTATTGTATTTAGATTTATGTTTTAGCCTTTAGCCTGAAGCTTAGAGAGCATTTGCGGTTTAAGTTGGACAAAATTCGACTAAAAAGAGATTGGCCTGTTCAGTTGGCCTGTTCAGTTGGCTTGGTTTTTCAAAAGCTGAAGTGATTTTCTTTTTTTATTTATTAGATAGAATAAGATTTTTTTAAAGCCTACTGATAAATCATTAGGAACTAGTCAACTAATCGTTCAAATT